CGGTTCAGTCGTAGAAGTTGCATTCAACTCCATTAGACGATTTTTCCTGCAGTTCGTAGTCATCACTCTGCACACGCACGGATCATAGCCGCTGGTCAAATACCTTCTGTTACTGCAAAATAGCAGTAAATGAAACCAAAGGAAATTAATAATACTTTTAGTCGGTTACAGGCCATAGACCGGAAGAAAACGGGGAGCTCTTTTAGCTGGGGAATTGCTAGCCAGTTGTATATTACCGAGTGTCATAGAAGTAAGGCATATCTGGGTTCCGACGCATGTCTCCGCTGTATTGCCTCTTCGTTGCGGTAGGTGACTATACCGTACTAACGTGGTACTAAGTGGCCAAACTCACGCGATTTGATTAAGCTATACGCCATTCATCAAGATTGTGTCCTGCAGCAAGCCTACGGGGAGCGAGAGCCCCGAAGAGTCGTCGGATGAGGTCGCCCTTAAAATGTTCCGTGGACTAAAAAATAGCAGGTGATGCACCAATTAACGAGACAGCCAGGAACAGCCATTGCGGAGCTCTTGAACAATAAAGTAGCGTGGGTTCACTGGCCGATTGTCCTGTAGCACTCGAAAAGGCTGTTAATTATATTTGCTATGATCCATGGGAAGAATCTCATTATAAGTAATGCTAACTATTGGCCTAAAGTAAATGGTGACTAACATTTTTAAACAGATTTCACCGAAGCGTCCTTCGAACATCGTCGACAAGATATTCTGCATCTATTGCAGCACCATATATTAGCTGTAGGCTTCTATTTGCGCTCTTTGAATGGTACAAGGCCAGAACACTACCGAATATTGTACCATTACAAAAACTAAAGAGTACGTTGCTTGAGGTAGCGTGCTTTTCATTCAATCGCACAGTGACTCTCGTGGATGGTGAAATTTAATCGATAACGGTTGATAGTAGGTAGGGATTCTGAATCTAGAAGCTACCGAGATATACGCCGTGCGATCCCATATTGAGTTGTGTCTACGAAATCCCCTAAGCGGCAAGCTTCCTACGTTGCTGCATGGGATTCCAAGCAGAACTGCATTTCATTTTCTTATGCATCTTGCCTATTACAAACCTATCAAAAGAGCTGAGTTTCTGTGGGAAGTGACCAGAACAGACCCAATTTGTTCCCTAAAAAATGTCTTGACTTAATAACTTATTTACTATATATTTACAAATTTTTGTTGAGTGGAAAGGTGAACCCAGATTTTTCCTTTTGCTTTTCGATATTAAACCAAACATGCTAGACCCTAGGTGCAACAAGTGCCTCTTTTTTTTCAAACTTCTAATGTGAGCTTGGTTTTTCGGCATGGCATCTGTTTAAACACTGGATGCAGTTTCCATCAGGATTTCGAAAAAGGTAAACCCATGTTGGCAGGCAGATTTGTTTTGTTACCGGTTAGCTTCTCGTTCCTTCCTGTGAAACGAGTCAGTACAATGGAGATAGTCAATGGTGGCCATTGTCGAACACCTCTATCTAGCTTCGCCGTTTGTTCGCTTCAATCTGCGTAAAAACAAATATCCTCAAAAACCGCTGCACAAATGAATTCAGACGTATTTTTGTAAAGTAGAAAAGCTTATACAGACTTAGCCCATAGCAACAGTAATAAAAAGATCTACGACCCCTGCTTGCCTTGGTTCTAGGCCAGCTGTAAATGGCTCAAACTAATAGATTTCGTTACGATTCAGGTCAAATACCTATTGAATTGTTCCACAAAAAAAAAGCGGGGGGTCGGTTAGGTTGTAATTGTTAGACAATAACATCCGAAAAATCTGCGCGGACGCGATAGTTAAGTAAATGTTGATAAGTAAATTATCTTACATAATTTGTTTTATTGTGCCAACCGTTAGCAGATCAGAACCTTACCCTCGACCACTCACCCTGGAGAGTAAAAATTTCCATAGCGTCAAAAAAAGTTCGCTTCAGTTTTACTTTGCTGTTCTTACTTTTAGTGCGATTGGAAGTTTTAAAGGGCCCCCAATTAAGTTAGGTTTTATTTATTTATTTACCTTTGCTGGCAGTATTCAAATACTTAATACAACATCCCAAGATCAGAGTGAGTCACTATGCGTCACATGGACTATACGAATCTCGTTGAATTTATAAGACCCACACTTTGAGAGAGTTGCCTTAAAGATAGTTCCAGGAAACAACAGGCGACATGGCATCTATCACGATTCACTTCTGCATCTAAGGCACCTACCTGTGTATTAGCTAGGCTCGTGAAAACCTGGCTTCCAACAGAGTTTTTGATGGAACCCATGCACACCAAAGTAAACCAGGATACTTCTTTTTAGCCGATTTTGCCCTTTCTATTCATTTTTCTCCATCGGACCCGAAGCAAAAAAAGCCGTCATCAGTCTCCGTTCCTAAGATAGGTCCTAAAAGTTTCTGTTACTAGGAGCTTGAAGCGACGAGGTAAATCCTCGAACAGCAATCGGATAAAACTCGGTTTGCTAGTTATAGTAAACAATTTTCAATTTTTTATGAGTTTCTCTATTATCGTGATTTAGAGCAATCGATTTATTATAAAAGATCTAAGCATATTTTTCGAAGTTATCATGTGTTTTTTTATTTCGAAAATTACACGTGGTTGGTTTATACGCGCGAGGTTTTTGGTCTGGTGACAAACACAATACGAATCCTGTATGAACAATCTTTGAGTTACTCGAGGGATGTAGTCTATAATACCATTTCATGCACTGCCCTTGAGTACTCTACAAGCCGGTTTATGTAAGAGGCATATTTCGATTATATGAACTTCCCTGTAATCAGGCTAGTTTCAGTATGGTTATACAACAATGTTAGATATAGCTATAATTAGTTTTAATATCAATTATCGTCACTCTAAGATAAGAAAAAAAAATACGAGTTTAGCTAGTAGTTAGTGCCATTTCCCTTTCGTTTGGCTGTGAGTCTCTGTTCATTGATATTTTCATTTTAACACAGATTCGTTAGAAAAAGGGATAAAATTAGTGGTTCGACTACAGAATCTTCGTGTTTTCTTTACTGTCGTTATTGCAACAATAACTTCACTCAGCGGAAAAGCCATAATCTCATTATGTGCTTTTGCAGCTTTTCAGAAATAGGCTCTATCTACCCTATTCCCTAAACACAGCCACTCTCTAGAGCGTAGAGGTATATACAAGTTAGGACCCTCGTTTCTCGAAAATTAGCAAAAGCCGTGTGCTATACCAATTCTTCCCCAGCCTCGGACTCATAACCACAAAGCGAAATAGATAGAGTAGACACTGCGATGCTTTCGTAATGTCTGGTATGCATCAGTTCGTGGCGACTGTTACTGCTGTTGACATGTCTGTTAACCATTTCTGTCGTTCGTGCCATTACCCCTTTGTACCTATGGTAGCGCAGTAGACAACGCATTTGTCTGCTAAACTTAAGGACACGTGCTAGTCTAAATGCAAGTATGAACGTAATCATACTTCGTTTCGTGGAGCCAGTTCGAAAAAATGCCTAATGGTTTGAGTATCAAATGTAAAAAGCTAGGAAAAGAATTACCTTTTTTGCGACTACGCGCCCTTAAATTTAACCAAAGACTCGTACAAGATGACCGAAATTACCTCCGGTGTTTGCTCTTTATATACTGGCAATGGTTGTGTCTTCGTCTAAAATGATAATTCCGTAGCCATTTATTATTTTCCATCTAGGGTTTTTAGAAATGCAATTAAGTACTTGTATATTATACGGGGCCAGTTGTACTCACGTATACAGCTGCGGTGCTTCTTCGAAGTTTCTGGAATACTGAGGCATGCTCGCAGATAGAAATACATAACTCTTTAAGAGGCGGAAAATGTTTTCTCAAGCAGGTAACAAACACACTTCTTAATGCAATACTAACGATGCTCTGGACGAAAAGTTCGAAATATCTGGTAAAAACTTATATATGTTTACGCTTTCGTAGAGAACAACGAATTCCTGCAAAACCGAAAACTTTATTTTGGGTGTCCAGGAAGACTCGGGGTGAACGTTTAAAGCTCGTTTTTGTCAACTTCGTATTAGAGAAATGGAAATTGCATGAGACATTATCCTTGTCAGCTACATAACAGCGCATGCATATGTCAAGCGTGTTGAACAAGCCCTTTCTGCCATTGTCCCGATGTAAATGTGAAGCTTGAAATTTAATACAGATTCCATGCTAAGCGATCTGAAAAAATGAAAAGAAAAATGTATGAAACCAGCCTTATACATTTTAAGATGGCTAGCTTGATCAGAATCTTAAATTCACTGTTTTTTTTTTTGTTTCTGATTCACTGTTTCTGACTTCTCCTTTGAATATTGGCCCGGCGAGATAATGTGTTGGAAAGGAAGCATGTGTTGTAAAACCCCGAATCATTGATGCACATTTACGGAGTTTGTTATTCGATCGAGCCTCTTAGACACAATTATCGCTTCATTCTTCAAACACAGCATCTTCAATTTTTATTCTAATAGCCTACCAGTCATGGAAATATTGTATTTTGTAGAAAAACACACCTATAATAAAGATGGTTTCCTCCATTGCTGGCTGTATCGCATATACAGGTTTATGTATTTATGGGTAGGTTGCTCATAACTTAGGCAAAAATTATGCAGGTAGTACAAATTTTAAAAAGAAATCATAATTTTGGTACTAGCTTCTGTCCAACTAAGTGATAGACGATCTATTAAATTTCAGAGTTTGATAAATCACGACGTACTCGATTTTACATGACATGTGATACTTTTTAGCTGCTGTAGTCTGCGTAAAGCTGCGAAGAAATTACTATACCATAGGGCTTTCATTTCTCACCTCCAGTACTAAGCTTCCTTGCTTTATTGTATCCTGGCGGTTTTGCCGCTTGTTCGAAAATGGCGTGCTCTAGGAAGGTCGCACTAGCTGGCCGTGACACTCGGTCTGAAAGCGGAAACCCTCTCCACGGCAAGCGGCAGTTACCGCTTTGAGGCCCTTTGGCCTGAGGGCCATTGTGCTACTTGCAGTGCGATCAGCTCCCCATACGGGCTCACACAACCGCTCAGATATGTCAGAACAGTTTCGACATCGACATTTGTACATGTTCCACAACTTTTGGGGTAAGAAAGTACCTATTACAGGACCAACAATGCCCTTATCATATTTTATCGACAACCGAAAAAGAAAGCTTTAATAATAACAAAAAAAGTGACCTCTTTATCTCTTACGACAAAAATATTGTGCGATGAAATATATGGATGGTGCACAATGACGTAACATGAAAAATTCAAAAGAGATCTGCTATGTGATCAAGTGTTCGTTTTCCGGCTTTTCAAAGAGGTCGACTAGTGAACGCAGATGGAAGCAAAAATTTACATTGTATTATGCCGGATAGCAAGAGCGACTGAAACGCAAGAAAAGCGCTGGATCTTTTCTCTCAGAAACTTTCGTGGATAGGATTTTTCGCATATAAAGTAATTAGTAACTGGTGCCTCGAATAAATGGCTGAAACGTGTGAGTGACTCATATGGCAACACACTGTGCTACAGTTGACGCAAACGAAAAAGCGTATTAAATAAGCAAAATACCAATTTCGTATAAAATATTCGTATATTATAAGGTAGATATCAATTTTATTACGAGTTTTAGAACTGGTCCCTTTTAAAGGGATGTATCACAGGCACCTGCGCAGGCTAGTTGACGTGGAAACTTCGACGTGACAGCACGTACGCCAATGAGATCTGTAGTTTAACGAGAATTAACGTCAAATGTACATGCGAAAGTTTTTTCTACAAAGTAATAATAATCATCATCATCATCCGTCAAATACAGTTATTGTTATTATAATTACTGTCAAAAAACATCTTTATCGTCATCATCACGGTGTACCAGGCCGCATTTAAGAACACCGAAATCCGTACAGCCTATTATACTACGAAATCACCGGCACAGTCATTTTTCACTGAAGTAATCGATGCGACTTATTCGTAATATTTGTAGATGACGTCAGATACGGTATCCCGAGTTTTGGCTGATCGTTGTAAACGGAAGGTCTGGGCGGCACCGTATTAGTCTGTGGTGTACGATTTGCCCTGTTTCTCGCCGTAGCGCGAGCTCAGTCAAGCTTGCCGACCTCAGGCATTCTACGGCGGATTTTGTAATAGAGATGATTACAATCTTTCTTCTTCGCAAACTGTTTTGTCAAAGCATTTGCGCTCGAAGTGTACGCTGGCAGGCCAAGCTTGCCAGTTGATCTCTATTGCGGGTCCTACGACTATTGTTATCATAATATAAATAAAACTACTACGACATACGGACGTACTAGCGACAGTCACGTCGACGAACGCTACATAACGCTACTGCATAGTGGCATCGTGCCACGAGCCGTCCACGGGCCTAAAAAGCCACGAGTTAAAAACGCGCAAATCTATCGTACCCGCCCAGAGAAGCTTGTTGCTTCAAATTTTCTCTTTTAAAAAGAATCATCGTCGATATGGTTCGTCTCGTTCTGCCATCCGAGTGCAGCTATACACCAACGTGTTATACCTGTCATTCTATATGAACACGCCAAACTGACCTCTGGCAAAGAAAACCGTAGGTTACTTGAGCAACGACCAAAACTAGGTAGATTCAACTATACAAGCTCTTCATAGATTACTAAACTCGAAGAGCCGTCCACAAAGTTACAAACATAGTGGAAAGGACAATACCACCCTCTGTGTGACGATAACGTTGCTGACGGCAATGGCAATTTCGTCTACGGCTTCTCATGAACTCGAGTTCGTCACAGGTAGTTGCTTGTGTCCATCATAATGGTGATGATGGCTATGGTTTTTTGTTAGCAAAAAAAAAAACAGAACGAAATAATAAAGCTACTATGAATCCATTCGGCTAAGGGACTTATTGTATAACTGTATAGAATTCAACTTAGAAGCTGTTGGCACTATTGGACTAACCGATACCAGCGGGTGACTGACTGACTATTCGATATTTATGTGTCGCCGAGTGATCCTTAAACAGGTATAGTTTTTCAGAAAGGTGCTTTATGACATCTGAAGGTCTTGGGTACTAAATTAAGAGGATGATATTGCAGAGATGATGAGTACAACGTCCTGTTGTTTTTGGTTGCGTATACGTACTTCGAGCCGTAAGTTAAGAACGTGTGATAGTTGTTATTGGATATTTTTCCCAAGTCGTATTAGATATGTGTCTTCTTCATATCGAATAAAATAGTGCCACCCTTGTCAATTAGGCTATTTCATCTGAATACCATTCCTGTTTCAATCAGATTTAGTTTTCTATATTCCGCGTATCCATACGCATGACAGCTTCCCTATTGCAAGTGACAACACATCAGGTTTCGTCGCAGGCCTAAAAGGCCAACAGCCGTTACCGCTGACGTTTTGATCTGATGAATGCATTCATGAAACGGTCGATATATCAAGGCTTCCTCGTCCCCCGGAAGACCTTATCCACGTGTATGATTCCATATGGAAAACGAACTCACGCTACATATGATATGCGCACTATGAAGTCTAGCGAGTTTAGCACCCCATAACAAAGTATTCTCCGTTTAGCACGAAAATGCTAGCCCTTTTCAGTTCCTTTGCGATTTCGTATCCTGTGAAAAGGTCTATAAAATCATAACTGGCCATTATTTCACCGAGGTATTTACATGTCATCCGTTACGAGCCGCAGTCTTGATTTCTAGACGTCTACATTGATTTCGTTGATTGGGCACTCTGTCAACGTTTAGTAAACTGCGTAAACAGGAACCACTTTCTTTGTCATGCCTATCGCTCAATTCTATACCTGTCAATTTACATGCTTTGATCCATCGCACACTTGGTACGTTCCTGTTAATTTTTAATCGAAAATTTGTTACGCAGTGACTGTCATTTGCCGCTCCTCAGAGACGATTATTTGCGTATGGTTGTGTCTATCCCTATTTTCCAGTTACTTGGTCAGTTCTGTTTTTGTCGTACTGAAGGGAGGCTTAACGTCGACTTTGAATAAATGCATTATTGCCTCGCACCTCAACGCCAGCCTCAGGGTCTTTCTTCTACCTGTTGCCTGTTTGGCAGAGGAAAGATGACCACACATAGACTTTTACCTGTACAGCCATTTGATTAGAAGCAAGCTCGGCAGACTAATGCAACGAGCCACTATCATCGTGATCTTCGAGTTTTGATCCAATTAAAGCGATGTCAATTCATTGAGCGAAAAAGAAAGGGCCTTTACTAACCGAAGTATCTTTGGAACGTAAAAAAAATATATATACACGTTTCAGTGACGGAAATATACTTGTTCAAAAGCTCAAGAATATTTTAAAAGTTCGGAGTTTGGGGCTAAATAGGCTGTGAAACAGACATTCTTTAATCTTAGTCATCGCCAAAGTGTAGTATTATAAGAGGTAGCGTAATATATAGCGTTCAAAAATAAGTGCTTTGAACTTTTGGAAAAAGCATAAAATTACTTAAAAGAAACGACGATACTGTTATATCTGTACATATAGACTTAAGTTATATATATAATCGAGGGTGCATGTTTAATATTTATGATGTGATTTGCTGGGCCTTCATATTGTGTGGAATGTGATGCCTTTGTAGTTTGAATCATAACGCTGTTTGGGTTGGATTTATAGCCCATTTATATAGCTCTAAGGCAATCGATCTTAGGTGTCCTTTATTAATCAATCTTCGTTGTTAGGTCTGAAGGCTTGAATTCCTTCAGGCAATAAAGTCCACCGAACAGTTTAAATATAACATATGCTTTAAACGAAAAAAATTCCGAATCACTGCCAGCTAGTCAGTGCCACAGGTGTGAATAATGCTAACTTGCTGCTATATACTCTTTACATAATATAGCATCATCGTAATCATTGTCGATTCATCGGGTGCTCATAACCTCGCTGTCTACCGACGCCTATATCAAAATCGCGATGGTTACCCTACGCGAAATAGTTCTATTATCGCGAAGGCTGACCAATACTGATCCGTAGCGCTGGCACCGAAAATTGAAACATGTTGAATTGATTTCTATTCGAATTTCAGATCAGAATAAAGACGGTATTCTGTCGTGGGACGACTTCAATGCTCTCGCTGAGTATTACACAAAGGTTCAAAGGAAAGGCAAACTTGAAAAAGATGTCTACGAGCGCTGGAAGTCTATCCTCGAAAAATGGTGGAATGAACTTACGAGGGACGCTGACTACAACAAGGTGAGATCGAGCAGCAAATCGTTTACTAACGATTCTACCAAATTGCTCTTACTTTCCTTCATCCAGACAAATAATATTACAAAAATACTAAATCCATATATATTTTTCTTAAGACAACGCATCATAAAGCCAACGCTTAAAGTACCTATCGGCTTACGTAATACGTACTGGCCAGTATGAACTTTAGGTGAACCACCATTTTTCTTATCACCCCTATCCAAACTAATCTATTTCGAGGTCAGTAAACGTGAACGTTTTATTATTTTCATCATTTGATCTTCAAGAAAATGATCTAGTTGTTCCGTCATTCATTAAATGATTTTATGATATCGTATGAGTTGCTATCACATGTTAATTTATCCACTGTCATAATGATGATATATTGTAGAATACTTGGTATTCTCCAAACAAAAAACCGTTTAAAAGCAACCATATAGCTCAAGTATGTCCATAGTGACAATTATTTAAGCGTCTATTAGAGATGCAATAACTCCAGTAGTCAATAAATGGCGACAACTAGTTTTGACATATAGGAAGGGCTTAAATCTGTCACGGTTCAATTTGAAAACATTTTTTTTGTATAGAAGAAAGCAAATTATATAATTTTTTTTTTCGTTTTTCGAACTTGAACTACCTCTACAGTTCCCACGGTAGCAGCATGTCTTTAGATTAACTCAGACCTATTTGCATTGAAATCGCTGTCTATCCCTTTAGCTAACTTTTGGGATGTTTGTGACATGATTTCTTCAAAATTTTTTTATGCGATGGTCAGTCTGTTAAGAAGATTCTCAAAAACTGTATAATTTCCTACCTCTCCAGAACTATTGCAGGAACACTTGTCATGCAAACAGCGCGTTTATAGATAGAGATACGTTAACCTCCGCTAATTACGCTATCTAATACGAAAGTGCGCGAACCCTTCAAACATTGTTCTTCTATAAACTAAACTTATGATACCGACATTGCGTTCGTTTATTTCCCACTTTTTAAAATGATTAAAGATGTTTAACAGCTGAACAAACTGTTCGCGATTCCATTCGTGATCGCTGGAGCAAGCATGTCGCTTAGACGCTCTGCGCTTCATGCCTCCCACACCTACAGAATATAAAGTGAAAGTTTTTTTCTGAGCTTGTCTATGTATTTACAGTCGACACACGATGCGCTTCCTTGTCGTTCTTCCCATGTATATAAAATATCAAATAAAGATGTAGAGGCCAGTTCGAAGAGCCACCAATATGGGGAAACTCTTCCCTTCATTTCCCGTCACGCTTTGGAACGCTTGCATGTATACTCTATTGGTTGACGTCCTCATCTCCACTACATGTATCAATAGCTGCGATTATTTATACTAAGAAAGGAAAGACAAAAGCCATAGGAGTACAGCATTCGCCGACACTTGGATGTACAGATCTTCGTCTTATAATATTCCATTAGTTACCACGTGTTAATTTATCATAAATCGCTATTTTTGGCAAATTCATACATTTCAGCAAATATACTCGTTCACCCGTGATTATGTTAGTTTTCATATTTTTTTTCAAAGTTTATTGATAAGCACCAAGTATTTTCCTTGGCACAGGATGTTTAAAATGCAGGTCCGATAACCCCAGATCTCACCGTTTACATTGCCCTCGGGCCGTTAGAAGGACACGTAGCTAGTTTTTTTTTCTAGCGTAGCTATGCATAGCAGGATTGTTATTGACAATCAGCTGCCGTTCGCCTTCAGTGTTTGCAAATAGGTAAACTCAAGACAAATTGAGTGCACTTGACCCCGGCGGGATTTGTTCGGGCATGTTAGGGGGTACGACGGTTGCTGCAGCCATTCGATCGCTTGCCGTTCTAACCAGAGGGTATAACGAAAAATAGATGTTCTGCATTCATGTCTTTGTATTGCCATTCAGTGAATGGTGGCTTGTATTTGTAGTGCTATGCGATCATGCCGATAGCTATTCTCTAAGGTACGAATCGAATTAGATTTTTGCTCTAGCTCAAAGGGTCTGGTAGGTCGTTACGGGACTCTGCTGGTACCATCAGCTCACAAACGCTATAGCTGTACTATCTAGGAAACGAACTGTTATATTCAGACGCCGTTCCGATTTTCCAGCCATTGGGCGATGGGCTGTGCCGGTTTTGCTTGTAAACCACGGGCAGAAAATAACTCCATTAAGGCTGCTATATGCGGGCCAACGGGAACAGTCTTGGTATCAACTTTTAACTTTTCTTATAGGCATACTTCTGAAAGTACAAGGAAGTCCGTGCCCAGGAAGTTCTTTTATTGTCTCTACTTCCGCTAAAATCAACAAATTTTTCCTAAGGTAGTCACTTAGTATAAAAGGACTTGTGATTTTTTACTTGGTCTGTACAGGTGGTGTGCCTGTGTAAGATAACTGGGGGATACTAACAATCGTTATCGCGTCGTAGATATATATCAGATTTTCTCTGGTTTACAATATAAAAATGTACCTATATTATTCTTGCATGTCTGTCGCCGAATTACCAAGCTACAATTATGTAAGGCTCAAATTAGATTAACCAAATGAATTAGTTATCCATGAATCGTGCACCCCCAGCAGCGTGCCAGTCGCTCGCCGAAATTTTAGCTGGGTTCGCTGGTCCTGTTAAAAATGCAGGCCGAATCCGACAAGAAAGTCGGAATTTAAATTTATTATTTAATTATTTGCTTGATAGTTTATTATTCACACCTGTGTCGTTGTTCCAGAAAGCCTGACTGCTAGCATCTGACGATGTGGTAATTTCGAAACGTAGAGTACGATGATGACTATGCGTTTCGCCGTGGGTCTTATTATCTAGGGAAAAGTGGTCATTGGAAGAGCTAATGGCCTCGAGCCAAAAAATTTTGAACGTTGTACGCTTTACCCTTAAAGTAATTGATTTTACTATTTGGTCAATATTTGTGCTCCCCTTAGCAGTCGTAGTGTACTCTGGACTATTTCGGCACAAACTAGAGTTATATATGAAATATTTCTTAATTCTATTCAAATAGTCCTCTTGTTGTGTTAGGAATCGAGCAGTACTTACTTTATTATTAGACAGATTTGCGTTTGCAAAGATGATTAGGCGGAGTCGTCGCCTTCGTATTCGAACGTTACATAGAGACCTTTTAGCTTTAAAAAACGGATTGTCCTAACGCTTAACTAGTTTGTCTTGGTCGTCTTGGGAAACTAGTTAATGGTTATTGTGAAAATGGTCCAGCGTATCGTATCCTTTGTTAAATTTAGCTGGAAACGACTGTAACATGGGGTTTATCGTCTTGTTCGGCATTGACACCCACTTTCTATCGTCGCCGGCATATCAACGCCCTGTGGAAACTTTTGATTGAAATCTCAGTTCGAATTAAGGACAGACGCCTATCGAAGTGGGTCGAGTTTAGTTATTGTTACTTGCCATAAACTTGATTTTATACTGTGTCTTAATGATTATTTGTATTTTCATTTTTCGATTCTCAGTTGCTTTTGTCATGAAAGACTCACGGCCCTTTGCCTTTAAAGAGTGTTTGCGTGCGTAACAAACGCAGGTCAAGTATGCAGAGATGATCTAGAACCTTCAAAGGGATTCGCAAAAAACGACAGAAATCGCGTTTGACTAGTCAAAAGACACCTGATAATCGCACTTATTTTTCCTTTATGCTTCGCCGGCCGTTCTCAGGATTGTCCGCAATAAAACCACCGTTCCTAAATAGGCGCCAACCCGTTGTTTCGTAGCACCAAGAGTCTCAGAGTTGCTTCCCTTGTCCCACAGTAAACAAAAGTGGCTCCATTCAGATCGTAAATGCCATATCTCTATGTCTCTTCTATGATATGATACGGTCCTCGGGGCGTCACCTATGATATTATCGTTACCTTAGCTGTATAAGGAATACTTATATACCTAGGGATAATTTTGACGCAAGTAAACACCATACGCTAAAGTGGCTGAATAAAATTGAACATGAAAGAGCTGGGGCTCAAGTAACGGGTATAGTACTTGTTCAGGCCGACCCCCTTGTTTCTCAGAGCCACTGAACAGACTGCCCCAGAAAATGGCAAAGCACTTATTTAGGTCTGTGCTTGTCCTATACTGTCGTCACAGTTTAGAAGATTCGCGTTCTTCAATCAACAGCGTATTGCATCTAAAGAAATTTCGACGCCTTGGCTATCTTATACCGCATTTGAGTGTGTTAACACTAGTTTTCAAATAATATACAGATAGGTATTTTAACCGGACATAGATGAACAGCTAGGAAACTTCGGGAACTTAATAAAGTTGGTTAGCTACATAGACGAAAGATGCTAAGGACGACTGCGTTCTCGCCAAAAATGGTCAGTTCGTATTTGTGTGTATACTTCCAAAAATCCATGTGCCTATACAACATAAAAATTCACTTTATTACTTTTTAAAAATCTACCTTTTCTTTCCAATACAATGATGCAGATATAAGGCTACTTATTTTAGTGCCACAACGAGCTTTGCTCCCGTTGACAGGCGAAGCAGTCTACCTGAAACCAGTGCTGTAATAACTACGCAATTTAACTAATTTCCCGTGACATATGACAATGGCAGCCTCCATAGAAGTTGCCTGTAACGAACAAAATTCCACTAGTAAAATATAGATAAAGGACGGGCTTCATAGTAAACCGTTCCCAAACCAAAAAAAGTCCCCAAACTGAGAAAACGTGGCAGAACATTTAAATACTGTAAGATGGAGTACATTCAGAATCAAAGTTCTCAAATACTTCGCATCAGAGAAAGATTGCTGTGTGAAACGCGGCCATTGCACTCGTTATTGGCGGCTGCTTTCAGCTCGAAGGATCAGCTCGAAAACTTGTTCGTTTTAACTTGAGTAGTCAAATAGCGAGTCGTCGGTAATTTCGATGCTACGTCCACTTTGAGATGAATGATTAAAGAATGGCGTTACTTGCGCCTTCGACTGCTGTTGCTCCATAATAAAAGATAATATGTGAAGAGTCAACGTTTGTATGCCTGGTCAACAGTAGAACCGAAGAAAAATTGAATCTAATACAAGATTCCGTCCATAGGCAAGCCGCTTTTCTGCTAAAGTAGTACATTTTCCGGACCAATCTACAATTTTATTTTCAAGCCTATGCTGAACTTGGCCAGCTTATTACATGAAGCAATGACGGAAGGACGCTACGAACCCCAGCGCACACCCCACAGCTTTCGTAGTAATGTTTATATCACTCCGCAGCTGTGAGTTATAAGACATTTCGAGGATAACCCAAGGACCCAAAACAAGCACATTAGTAACTGCATGCGTCAACATTACAGTTCCGTCCATTGAAATAGCTACAGATCGGGCGCTATATTTTACATAGACAGAGAAACTATCGAGCGAACATTCCTACGTCCTGCGCACGATTCGAACTAACAATGCCGATAGGGTTCTTGATGGTAGTGGACTAAGCTGGGTTCTGCTGACTTTTCCAAGCAAAACAAAAAGCCCACAGCCGGACCTCGTTGCAATGTAAAGCCGTTAGCGTCACCTAACTAAGCCTTCCGTTGACCCACTAAGCCATCCCATCAAAGCTCCTAACCCAATTGAGTGGCCTATATAACCTGCTTCACGCTAGTCGATTTTTCTTACTAGCGCGTAGGTATATATATATATATATATGTACGCGTGTCATAAATTAAAGGGTCGAATAAATCATCATTATGATTAAAGCTGAAAAACTATAAATCTATGCAAAGTCATATCAATATATGTATTACGGATCACTGGCTAGTTTTCTGTTGACTATAATCCTTGTCAGCACACCGTTTCGAATCAAGTCATCGGTGTTTTGCGAATGTATCGATCCATTTTCCTATGAAAAAGGTTCGTTACGTAGTAACGTTCGAGAAAACGCGAACCGCAAGCTAGACCTAATTTTCGTTGGAAGGTACCATCGATTGTCGTTCTACAATAGTTACCGGTAACAATCTCGTTTTTTTATAAAATATCTTAAGCTCAAATATTAACCAAGTTTGTGCGGTTGTCCTATTACAGGACACTGTCGTGGAATTTGACGAATGGATCAGATATTTCAAGACAATGGGCGAAACGACAAAAGAATTCAAAGACTTGCCGGATTTTTTGCAGAAATACGCTCAACTTTTGTTTATGATCATGGACGCCAATAAAGATGGTCTTTTTTGCATTAAGGACTATAAAAAATATCTTAAAGGTTTAAATCTGAGCATTGACCATGTCGAAGAGCAATTCGACTTTATGCTTGATGTAAGTATCCGTTCAGATGGTGTAGATATTTGTGGAGGACAGCGTGGATGTTAACTAATAAGGGATTACGCATGAACCGTCACCAACATACTAAACCCAATATACGCATCGAATCCACCAACACACGTATATTATTGTTGTATAAAACTTATTATATAAATATATATATATATATGTATGTATATATGCCATTCTAAGAATGGGTTTTGCTAGCCGAAAGGGTCCGCCTGATGTGTTTAGACACGTTGGTCAGTAGTTCCTTTGCTTTGTCGTGAACAAGCTTGTTTGCTAAGATTCATCAATATGAAACACATCAACCTCGGTGAAAGCTATTATATATTTATATCTATATTTATAATATATGTGTTATATATTATAAGAACTAGAGATATATGTATTAAGGAGATGATGCCTTTTATCGTAAAGCCGAGTGAGGTTTCTGATCGATACCAATGCCAGTTCCCGTGCGCTGCTTGGCGGTGGGTTGATTTTAATCGTTCAATGCTGATTTAGCGCACATCAAATACACTTACGACGCTTTAGGTGTTATTAAATGCATTCGATAGCATAGATTATGGAGTGTTATGAAAGTAGACAGCAACTTGTATAATCCGTATGTACAAAACGACGAGGAACTATATCGGAGGTTCGGCAAAAGCCTGGATCATCGCATTATAGTAATACGCCTTTGACGTGATAGCCCAGGTTTCGGTTGTGTCTCAATCAATAGTTTTTTGTTTGGGGTTCAATTTAAGATAGATGCCACGCAGCTACCAAGCACAACATCTCAAGCATCCTAGCCGTCAGCGAATATATTTTTTCCTTCAATTTTCACGATCGGGTAACATGATTATTAGATAATGCCAATAAACACATCGTAGCATATTTTTAGTAGGTAAATTCTACGCTCAATTCACTTTCTGGGCTTTTACCCAGAAGCCCATCCAAAAAAAAAGAACAGTGCCTGCGGGCTTCTAGGCTAAACAGTATTTTGCTTGTCAGCAGACATTTGTAAGGTTTTCAAGAGGAAGTTATACGGTTCCATAAAGATCGTTTCTAAGAACGCTTTAAAGGATCCTTTATGGCGCCTTGATTAATATTGAGTGCGTATTTATATTAAGCTTGAACGAGCCAAAAATGTTGCCCCTATATATATATATATATATATATATACATTAAGAGACGCCGGTGTGCCTGGATAAGTAACAAACTTCTTTGATAAATCGTTACGATGACTAACGAATAAACGTTTAAATATGCAATAGAGCGGTAAATAGGGTGGCTTTGTTTAGAAATCTCTTGGGTTCTAGTGAAGCTCATTGCCGCACTGCCTAGCATCAGCTCGATAAATATCATTCTATCTCATCAGATTTGACGTCCGCATGATATAAGGGTCTTATGGAAGTGAAAATGCTGCTATATTACAATATAGAATTAACTTGAAAAGACTGTAAGCCTAGATTACTTAAATTAAGTTTATTCACTCAACACCGATACATTTCAATCATATGAAGCTCGATCGCAATTCTATTATAAGTCAACGCCATATACGCCAACTTGATTCATAATTTCAATCCAAACTGCGAAATCGCCGCTTATTAACGTATCGCGCATCCTTTCATTGTCTTCCTTTTTCATCTCTTTTCATTGAGTTGATTCGATCACTTTCAGGAGGTAGACAAAGCCAATGATAGGGCCATGCCGTTGGATAGTTTCCGAGCTCGAATGTACGAATACTGGACGAAGGACGACACGAACATCAAGGGCAAATTTTTGTTCGGCCCTTTCGAGACTGAGGATCTCACCACGCTCGAGGCGAAGACTAAGAAGAAGTAAAAGGGCAGTTCTACAGGTGCTAACTTATGTCGACGATTAGGTATTTCGGTAGACCTTTAAGGTTTTTCGTACAGATAAATCGTTACTGCCTAATTGATGGGAGAAATTACTGAAATGATGCCGGTTGAACCGAAAACAGAAAGGAATATCGATAAGATATAATTCGTCACTGACCTGATCGGTGCCATTGAATTACAGAGTAAATAAGGAACTAGCAAATAATATATGAACCAAATTAACATTAAATATAAAAATAATTTTGCGAGTCTGAGCATTTGATTAAGAATACGAGCAAAGAGTTCACTACGGGGTGCTATTTTGTATCGTTATAATATTCTAAAACGTTACTATAATAAAAATGCCTAACATTATCTCTCAAGTGTATCAGAGCTTATAATCCAGATTTGAAGCGTTAAAATAGCAAATTTAACCCTGATATAGTTTTCGACCGATCGCTCTGGGGTATCAGACTGAATAAGATAATAATGTCATACATGTGTAATATATATCATCCATAAACGTCGATGCGATGAACGGTTTCTTATGGACACTGGCAATATGTTAAAACAATACAGTATGGCTACCATGGATCGATTAAATACCAAACAATGAGAGATACCTGCTCTGTCGGAGGCAGACGCGTTTTAATGTTGTCCACGACTATTTGTTGCGCGTTTGCAAAAAGCTAGTACCGCCGTTCTGCTGGCGCCATTGGTGTTACTTCGATCCCATGTTTATGTCACAGTTATTGTCGTCATTCGCATTACTGCATATGTCAAAATTCGTTATAGCAACATCTAAAACCTGCAGCTATTTGAAATAGCTTTACAAACGAAAGGTAGCACGGTGCGAAACGTTTCCCCTCTAAAAATAAGCCTCCTTTTAGGCACTACACTCAGGCTGCAGGTTGCAAACAATGGAGTTTCATTTCAGATTTAACATTTTGGTAATAAACCTATGTCACTCTTCACAAATATAAAATTAGCTACGCTCACAATGAAACAAACTGCAACAACTGATGCGGTGCTGTTCCAGCAGCTCTGACAGATTGTGCGAAGTTTTTCAAATAGAAACAATTAACAACCTAAAATAGTACGTACTTGAGATTATTTACTATATATATATATATATATAAGCTGTTTAAATATAAGGCGACTGTCAAGGGTCACTTACGTCGTTCACAGCGAGCTCAAGAGCGGGTTTAGCGATACGGAAATCGAAGCTTCGACGTAGGCCTTTGCTTGTAATAAAGATTGATACAATCCTGGCAACAAACCGGTTATCTATAGGGTCATGGAATCGGCTATCCTCCTTCCATTTGATTTCGTGCTGAATCGTTCCCAGTGCTTGCGGATCTTCGATAGAGGTCTCATCTATCGAATTATCACTGGTGTTCACTGTTACTTGATTCATCTGAAAGGATACAGTGGGAAAATTATAGACAGATTTATAGACAGCTAACACGCATTTATAGACAATGGACATCATGTGTGACGCACCGATCAGACTACGTAATCAATCTGCACACTTTCAGATCATATTCGGAATTGACACTTGAGTCTTGTACTTTATGGAAATGCCTTGTTAGGTACTCTATGAAACAGAAGGTCAGAGAAGATCTCAAGCAGAGCCGAAAACTAGGTCCGCGGTTTTGAGTAACTAAATAAGTGAAATATACATTTGAAACAGTTGTTCTAGCCAAAACGTAAAGGTCAATCAAGGTCGCTAAAAATGTTATAAAATTTTGCCTTATTCATGTAGTTTGTACGGTATCACACCGAAGCGTATGTGACCATACGCATATAGTCACTATATGCTAGCTTAAGTAAAGTCAATGGTCAACGCTTCATTCGACGGTAAACGAGATATTATGCAGTCGCTGAGAGGGGGCTCGCTTACACAAGAAAAACTTTTATAACACGCTCATAGATTCATCTCTATGGAGACGTATCAGTGACAATTTCCTCGAAAATCAAGTTCTTTGTTTCAAGGTCGCTACGAATCGATTCATTCTCGCTGACAGGGTACTCGGCAGGAAGGTACTATATTTCTGAGACGGTACACGAAAAATGGCAGAACACCCGCTCCGAAGTACTGATATTCTCCAACGTTCGTTTATTTCTGCTACCTAATTAGAGACACGGGACCCTCCTCTAACGCTTTTACGCTGGTCTAATGGTTCCATGAGAATGTCATGGTTCGAGGTGAGCGCACGGCTCGAGAACGACAACCAGACGCCGAAGATTCAGGACGTGGAGAAACCATCTGCTCTAGTCTCTACTCAGGTAATGCCGTCTCGGTATAGCCTGTAACACAGTGGGCATGAAGGGAGCAATAGATACATGATTCCGACATAATGTTTAGGAACGGTAGGCAAACAAAAAAAAGCCACAAGGGAAGCCGCGATGTGTAGTTTTTCGAAGCGATCCACTTTAGACCATATCTCACTTGAAATCAATAATTATTGCATCGTTCTATACTATTTACGGATAAATACAAGTAGAACAATGTTATTTTAATGTCGGTTCTTCAATCGTTGGCTGCGCTCGAACGTCCGCGAAATCTGAAACAATTAGCTATTAACATTGAAATAATACTATCCACGCTTGTTTTTGACGATGGTGGCAGGAAATGTGCCGCCTTATGATAAGGATATGGCGGCGCTTCACTTACATCAAAATCAAGTTTCTTTCGGCTTGAAGATTTGGCCTACCAGTCCAGAGAATCAATATATAGGCGATTTGTCAAGTGAGACACACAGACATATCCTTGAAAGCGAAAACGACTTCATACGATGTTAATTAAATGTATTTTGTTTATACTTAACAAATAATATTTTATACCGACGCACTTGGACGCGTCCCACATTTCAAAGAGGATGCCAAAAAATCGGCCCGGCTGATACACTATAGATCCAATAAAAGGCTGGACGTTTCTTATTGGATTAGCACGTTTCCGTATAATATACAGCGCTTCCTTCATCTGCTGCCCGCATAAGGCCAGTGGATGGAACTAGTGACTGTTACGGGCACGACTGAATACTTTTAATGCTCTGTCTAGTGAAGATTTAGATTTTCGATGTCCTTCTTGGCTAGTACAATTATGTACATGGGGTAAACAAAATCGGAAATGAAAATCAATTTATCTCAAATGGAGTATATAAACATTTTCAGTCTGCAGTTGTTCTTATACGTGTAAAAGACGCTTCTTAGATTGATTGGCTGGAAGAGAGTCTTACTATAATTAAGGCTAACTCTCATTGACTGAAATTTATGATGCGAGAGAGCGCGTAGAGTATTAAGTCGTATTAGTAGATCATAGACCCTTGCATTACAACTTGGTTCGTCGTGAAATAGCACGTAATTTTTTTAAGTATTTGTTTCGAAATGTATTCTGCATGTACTGGTCCTATATGCAATTTTCTGCAACTGTTCGGAAACGCCTTGTTTTTACAGCATTTAGGCGTGATACCCAGCTGAAAAGCTCTCAAGCTATCTAGACTCTACATTGTTATTGTTTCTGCATTTGCTACGGAAGTGTCCTTATCATTTTTTCCGTTTAATTCAGTTGTTTTGTTTTCCCCTGCAACGCACTCCTCTGCAGTTCCGTGTAAATCATATGTAGAAATAAGTCATAAAACTAAAAGCTATAGGCTTTTCAGCTCGACTTAAAAGAACCGTTGGGTCTAAATAGTTCCTTCATGTGACTCATAAGGTAACGGCTCGTGAGTGCGACAGTCAACCACTTCATGTATTACCCTTCTGTTATATTTCACTTTGATACAGCTTGGTTAAGGGAATACCGTGCCTCTAAATATATATACACTCTATATTACATGGTTACACATAGAGTGTAACCATGTAATATAGAGTAACTAACCAAATGGAGTGCAACACAGGTTGAGAAGTTACAATATTAATGCTTAAACACTGTGACACGGTACTATCGTGGTCATCACAACGATGGAATCTAGTGACGCAATTACGTCTGAAACAGCTTCAACGAAGCAGTCTCCGCTGACCTCTTGCGCAGGATCTTAAGACCTAACCAGCGGTTATAGCACAGCTCAAATATGTGGACGCGTCGTATTTCCTTTATAGGTTCTGCTTGTCTGCAGGTGTTTGAACTAGGCATAGACTTCGTAATAAACGGTTGACAGAAATGGAGGTAACGGCGACCAAAAAGGAGGTGACATATGGCGCCTTTCTCACAGGAGATTAATTTTACGTTAATTGCTTGCTAAGTTGCAAAAATCAAGCTTAGGTTAAACGCTAGTTCTGTTGCTATGAAGCAGTTTGCTTTACGCTTAATGGCAATAAGAGCCCGGTTTCTGTGACCATGATGCCACAAGACAGATTAGCATGGACGAGGAATACACGTAGGACATAGAGGCTACACGATACACGTCTCTCGTCCTACGCAAGCTACGCCGTGCGCAACGCAGATGTAATTATAGGCAGGATAGGACACTGAAACGGAAGGTTTACGAGGTGTTTCTGTGGGATTATGAAATCGTCCGTCTTTGAAATCATGAATAGGAAGGAAGAGTATCAGTATGCAAGGGAGCAGGTGGCTTTCGGGCAACTGCGCTTAAAAATCTGGTGGTTCTGGCGGTAACACAGAAGGAAGCCTCGCTTAGATGCTTTTAACATCGTTGACACTAGAACAAGTATATCTTTATGAGTGATTATTTTCTCAGATCATATTTTTACAACTGCTCTATTTTGACCTATATTATTTAATTGTAGAATTTAAACGCTGAATAAGAATTAACATATAAACAGGCAAGCTTTTAAAGTGAATCATTTAATTAACGTGGCGTTTAATAGCGGCCGCTCTTTGGGGCGTATCAGGCGATCCGCCGTATTATCAACAGAAGATTCAAATTGGTTCGAAGTGAAGCATAAAAGAAAGAAATTGGAAATAAGTTATGAATAGTAGGTCTCGGCGAAAATAGTTTCAACCGTTGAGGCTGAACCAAGCACTCTGGGCGAAATGGGCTTTTCGCTGGCTCCCCTAGGTAAAATTATCGCTGAAACCCATTGAGAAAACATCTTTTAAGTGAATCAATAATGCAATTAAAAAGGTTTTTTTTTCTGATAATTATTGATATTACACTTTTAATTATTATTTACTCGTTCTACCTAAAATAAGTTGCGCATTCCTCCTCTGACCGAGATAATTTTATCATGTTCTGCTTTATTTGCCCATAGACCTCTTTCTCTTAGCTGTTTTTTGTGCAGCAGGGTAGTCGGAAAAGGTTAAGCGCTTTTAGAAATAGAATCGTGACAAATAGCAACTACAGAAAAAATGCTTCGGTGAAATACAGATCGAATACTTTTCAAATGATTTCTTAAAAAAACACGATTTTTTTCTACGAACGTCTGCTGCTTTCTGGGCTCCAAGGGATGATCGCACATAACCCAGAGGCATTGGGTAAAGCTTACGATTCGACGAATTTATATTACGATTTATTTATATTATACGAGCGTAAACATATAGAATACGTTTTTAAGTTTTCTACCCAGATATTTAGTTATTTGTTTTCAAAAATATTTTCTTTTGACTGCAGGCTACATCTTGGGCCCCTAGTGCAGTGCGACACTGGGGACATTATCTCGTTACCCTAACGCACGAAGTTTCCATTAACTTCCAGTGCCAGCGCTCATAGGCAGAATTCTGTATCTTCGGTTTGTAGCCGGTAGAACCAAATACAACCTGCAAGTCCAGCCTTATAAATCGATACGCAAATAAATCGACAAAGTGCTCTAAAGGATAAATAAAGAAAAAATAAATCGGTTCTAAGATGGTTATCCTAAGAGCTCGGCGCACTTCAGTGTGATCCGTGCCATTTACTCACAGTATTGCCCTACCCAGTTCGTTGGGTGAAAATAATAGAACGTGTAGTCATCTGTATCTATCGAGAAGGCAGACATCTAAGATTCATGTGATAAATTTTAAATGATGCCAAATTGGTCGCAATGGCTTGACTCGTACTGCCATCGCCAATGTACGAAGAAATGCAATAATGAAAAAAAGTATAATAATTGACTTCGTTGATTAATTTTTAAGCACAAAACCGCCTTAATACGTTGGCTCGTTGCTTCTTGAAGCAGTGCGATAAACTTCAGCGAAATGGGCTATCTACATGTCTGTTTTCTTCCATTTTGGTTGAAATGTTTTTCTTTCTCAGATCCCATTTCGCGCATCTGCATATATGCACGTGCTATTTCAACCCATTTTTTTTATCAATGTTGTTGAAAATAGTCTTCATTTGATGCGATTCTTCTTAATTTCACCTACCTAGAGCTGTTTGTGAGGTAACTAAATGGCTACTTTTGCTGATCATTTTTTTATTTTTGATTTTAATTGTAAATTTTTTTCTTACAGGAGGCGAACTATGCGCCTGTACC